CCATACCGGAGTTGCTTACGATTTACAATTTCAAGGTCTTTTGTGTTTCAGAATTAGATGCTGAGTTATATAAAGGATAAGAAAGACGACAATATATATATAATATATATATATATATATATATATATATATATATATATAGTTTTCATTGTGGATAGACCTTAATTTCAAATTCGAACTAACTTTAAATCCCTCTAACTTTCTGACACAGGCAACGAACTGGACGCCATATCAGGTAATCGGTTCACGATTTACCATTTTTGCGTAATTTTATATTTTGATAATTTACATAACCCCTTGATTGAATTGAATGCTTACAAGCTTGCTTTGAAAATAAACCTTAAATAAACATTTGCTTGGTGTTTTGGTAACTTATTTGTAAGTCATGTCATTTGTCAACTAGTATAGAGTAGATGAAATGATAAAGTGGTAACAAATTTTCATTTTCAAAAATTTTATTTCAAACTCATCTAGGCGAGATTAATTAAGATTTAGTTCCATGTTAGGGTAAAGTATATTAAAATAGTACTCAAAATGTCACTTTTAGTTTCTGTAGATTGAGTGGAGTCAAGGTTTTGATTAAACGACAGTTCTTTACCTGTTTAATGACTCAAGTGTGTTCAAATCACAGGTTTGTCTACTCGTAAATTGTTATGCAGTTAGATAGAAAGGCCTAGGGACCATATTTGATTTGGAAATCGCCTGTTCTTATCATGGAAGGCCACTAACCTTCAACATACTTTGAAAAGCGGATAGGAAGAATTATGGAGAGACACAGTAATTGTAGATAACAATGGATCCCCATGGTGACAGGGGTATATCGCATGGAACTGCCCATCACTGAGCCACACCCCACACTCACGATTAAAGACTAACACCACAGACAAGACTGTTCGTAATAGTTAAGATTACATTATTAAGAATTAGAAGTACCTATGATGGGAAGATTAGCGAAATACAGCTCTTGTAGATGGAAAGTCTTAATTGGAGTTCTATGTGCTGAGAGTTTACTCAGTTAATGCAGGCAAAAGGAGAGATGTCGTAACTGTTTGGATATTTTGGGTGGTTTTAATCTGGGATTCACCACTGACGCACTCTACCTCGTCTCAATCTTTGCACATCCCTCATATTATTTTAAATTATAAAATTTGTCGCGCGCTTTGCTCACAATTCTACTCTAATAATTTCATACATATTTCCAACAATGGTGCTTTTTCACTAATGTCTGGTAAATTCTGGAAAATCTTACATTCTCAATATTGGGGTTAAGGATAAATATCATAAAGCCTGTTATTTGGAATAACATTCTCAATATTTCTAATTCTAGAAATGGACGAGTTCGAAACAGAGAGTGATGATTCACATGAACGAATTAGGGCCGTCTCTGATCAACTCGCCATCACTTGGTCGGAATCAGCAGAGTGCAGCAAGTACGTTCATCTGTCCCCCCCTCTATACTACTCATTTTGTATTATAAGTAGGCAACCAAATCGATATATATTTGTCAATTGGGTTTAGGTTTTCTATAACTATTTCCGGTTTTACATTATTTTAATTTATGTTAGTTTCTTTGTGCTAGTTGTTCTTTTCACTCCTTGATATCGGTAAACCAATGACCTCTCGTCTCTAATGTCTCGTTTTGATCCAATGACATGCTGACTCTAATATGTATGGAATCGATTTAGTGCTTGCACCAATCCCATCTTCGTCTCCACAGTGTGGTTAATTGGTAGCTGTAAAGATTTATAATTGATCCTAATCATTGATCACCGAGCATTACTATTTACCATTATAACCGATTAGATAGACAAATGAGGCATATTTGATGACAGCGGGAAGTCTGACGTATCATGTCACCATGTCTTAAAGGACGTTTACCATGTGATTTATTGCTAATAGTCCTGATGCCGCATTCATTGCTTTTGCACTCTTTCAAATTAAGCCTCATTCTTATTTCGTTTCCACAGAAAAAATATTATCTATAGCTTTTAAGCATACGTTTGATTATTCTTCAGTTGATAAATTGAGCATTAACTTGATATCAGGATTTATTCCGACTAGAAAGACACAGCCATCAAGAATTGACAGTAAAAAACCGTTTGACCTCGAAAGTTACACAATTTAGTCACGCATTCATGGTTAATAAATTAGTCTTCGCCGTAAGTGGGTACTTTAATCAAGCATGTGTGCAGATGAGTACTGCTTTGACGGGCATGTGTGTGCGTGCTTAATTTTCTTTCAACTATTTGGCTTCCAGACCAAACTGGCACACCTTGTCATCAATCGGACGTAATACAAAGCATTGCTACAATAGACGGACATTCTAATGGATAACTGCACTCATTTTAGACTCTGGAATGTTCAATTGTCTTTTGATGATTATTCTTGCTTATCTTGTTTTAATTTTGGATGCGAATATACTTTAATTCTTATTTTGAAGATTGATTCAAACAACCCATTATGTTCCATTTGTTTTGGTTTCTATAGCAACACTGTACAAGAAAGGGAATTGGTCGAAAATCTGGTCTGTTGGTATGGAGACAATCGTGTCCAACTGGAAGACATACAGATTTGTGCTGAAAATAGGAGAAGTGAACGGAGGTTTATTGGTTATTGGCTGCTGGATAAACCTGTTAAAGTCCTCAAGTGAAAACTTGTGGATTAAATAGCTCCTGTTATAAGTCTAACACTCGTGTGCTCATTGCTTAATTAAGATTTCTATTATCTTTGATCACTTCAACTTCAATTTGGAGTCATATCGGGGGAGGGGAGGGGGGTTGGGGGAAGGAGTGGTTGCTTGGAAGAGCTTAGTGCTAGAGATTGCATCGAGTTATATTTCTTCAAATGATGCATGATTCACGAAGCTACCGATGTTTTGTTCCAGGCATTTTATTTCAAAACGCATTCGACTGAAGTGTAAATATAGTTAATTTATTGAGTTCAAGTTGCAGGTGAAGAATACTGAAGACATCGTTCATTGAGTTACCGTTTTCTACTCTGGTCCTAATAAGATAGGGGAAGGTGGTTGTGTTAACAGTGTTAACAGACAATCTACCTGGTTTGAGATTGATTAATGAGTACAGCTTGCTTGGCAGATTGTATTCAATATCTCTGACCTGTTAACGTTTTATAACACTTGATATTACTGTTTTTCGTGGTGATTTGGTCCCGGTTTATTCAATTCAATTGGAATTACCATAATTAAGAGTTTTCTGGAATCAGAAATGGCACACTGGCATTTTCATACTTTCACTGTCTTTATAACCATGGATTCTTATTCTGAAATATGCCCAGACAATTATTATCACTTTATCCAGTTCGAAAATAAATTTTGCAAAAAAACCTCGGGTGCAAAGGAATACTTGAGTTTGATGTTTGGCGTTCCACACGATGTAACTTTTACTTACTTTACCTTACAGTATTCGAAATGAAGTACTTTCCATCCAGAATCGAACTTCAAACACTGCAAGCTATGCTAAGCCTGAATCACTGCGGAAAATTGGGTATGCAGCCTCCTTTCCACGAGAACTGCTTATTGTCTGTTGGAGAACCACGCTGACTTTGATTCGTGATCCTCAGGCTTCGATAGTTCAAACACTCGTCTACCTCTTTTTCGCAGTGGCGATGGGAGTTGTCTACTTCGGTCTGGACAATTCCCTCGAATCTGGACTCCAAAATCGTTCCGGTCTCTTCTTTTTCGCAACCCTCCAAGTCGTCTTTGTAAACATTGGATCCATTGAATTATTCCTCAAAGAGCGGGCTATATTTATGTAAGTTGATGGACATTTTGTCAATAAAGAATCTATATATTGCCTTTTTTCCACCAACAGCCATGAACACTCGAGTGGTTACTATCGCGTGTCGTCGTATTTCCTAGCGAAGTTGATTTGCGATGTGCTGCCAACGAAAGCACTCCCTGTGCTCTTCTTCATGCCCATCACTTACTGGATGGCAAAACTCTATCCGGATGCTGGAAAATTCTTCTTTTTTGAATTCATCTTGGTTCTCAGTACCGTGGCAGCAGCTGCTGCAGCTATGGCTGTATCAGCTAGTGTCACTCTCTTTTCAATTGCCAATGTCATCATCTCCATTCTCTTTGTGTTCATGATGGTATGTTCTTGTCACCTTGATATTCCATTTCTGTTTTTTTTTGAATCAGTTACTTGTTACAGTTAGATTGTATGTGAAGGGTAATCCTTATATTTGATAAGATCTTTGTATCCTGCCTCCAACAATGGACACAATGGGCCCTAGGAAATCTGCCCTTATTTGAGAGCTATTTGTTGGAATTGTGTGGAAGGCAGTCCTGACTTAAGTAGACGTGTTCACTTACTCTGTCATCTATTAACTTCGGGGCTATTTAGTGGCCTGATATGAAGGCTTCAAAGCCAACCTAAGACGCATGGATTGAAGATTAATAGTGAAGACGAGGGGGGCCAATCAATGTGTGGCAGATGTCCGTAATAGAATGCTACTGCTAAATTGGAGGCAAAGAATGTACTCCGCGATCAATGGTTACCAAATGAATTGTGGATGGTATAACACAGCAGCTATTTATTAAATTGGGTCCAAGAGGCGAGTGCTGAAGATCATTTTTAATTAGTGGCACCTCCAGGATGTCAGAAATTGTAGGTTGCAGTATAAACTCGGATTCGGTCTATTTCTTCCATTTCTCTGATATGTCGTTACTATCGAATGAAGATGTTGTTTTTGGCAATTGTCATTCTCTCTCCCTCGCTTAAATGTGCCCCCCCCCCTGAAAAGTTTTGTTACTCACTGTTCTAGGTATTCGGAGGCTTCCTGATCAACTTGGAGGCCATGGCCAGCTGGTTGAGTTGGCTTCGTTACTTTTCCATTTTCAATTACACATTTGGTGGTCTTCTTGTCAACGAATTATCTGATTTAACCTTCTGCCCTACCACAAACAGATCAACGCCAACTTTCAATGATACCCGAACCTGGTACGTATACAGACACCTCTATTTAATATTACCTCAAGAGTCAATGCACACGCTTTTATTTTAGTGAATCCGGCCGCGTTTACTTGGACACTTTGGGATATGCCAATGCGAATCCCTGGGATCTATGGTTAAATGTTGTTGGACTCGGTGTGATAATAGTAACCTTTTTCCTTTTGTGTTATATCCTTCTACGCAGTATCAACACTTACAAGTAGGAGGCATTCTTTAGCACCGAAATATTTTCCAATGTTCTGTCTCATACTCTCATCTCATAAATAAGTTCTTCTCTACCTTCAACGAACTATTTTCTTATGTTTGATGTCGGTTATGACGTCTCTTCCGATTCAAATCGATTTTTATGAACCCCTTCTGTCATAACATTCTTTCCTATCTGATGTTAAACTTAGTCTCTGGTGCTTTGATGAAGCATTTCCCCAGGAAAAAAGTATGGTGGACCGTGTAAATAAAGGAACTTTGACTAAAAACTGGCTTTTAATTAGACGTCACTAAGCTTAGTCATTAAAACAGTATGAAAAATATGATACACGACAGAAAATTTTTATTCTAAATTTAAGAACAAAACAAATAGCAGATAGTATTCTTAATCCTGTAATCCAGCAACTTGAAATCGGATTGGTGGAAATTATTGTCACACAACTACTTCAACCAAGCACTCAGCGCGACCTAGTAGTAGATTAACTTTGGACACATGGATATTTTAATGCGTCTATATGTTACTTCATGAGGAAGAACTGAAAATGGCTTTGTCCCGACACGAAGAAATAAATGTGATGTGCACAATGGACCAAAACAGGGGTCACGAATTTGATAAAGATAAAGTGATGCGAATGGCCAACTGCATGGATAATGAGAGGAGTGGAAGAACATGGTACTCTAACCAAGTCAAGCGTTTTCAAGTATAAGAGAAACGCTTCTAACAGGTGTGAAAACGGTGATAGATGCTCCGTAAGAAATGATCCAGAGTAGTTCGTACAAGCCAAATTAAGGTTTGAGAATTATAGAACTAGAACTCGAGGCTCAACGATATAAATATTTGTAAATAGGGAATGCTATTACCCGAATCAGTTATTTCATCACACCGGCTTTCTTTCCAAAACTATTCTTCGTAATGTCCGTGAAGAACATACATGGCATAAAGAACCTTAAAATATCAACGTGAAATAGAAATAAAATTAATATACGGAAGTGGAAAATACAAATTTAGTTTATTCTTTGTACAAATCAACAACACTTGGTATAAGCTACTCGCCTTCATTAACAAGCATATTTGGTATCCCATTATGAATGGGAAATTCGCGACCAGTTTCTGGACAAACGAGGGAGCCTTCGATCACATCAACTTCCATAAGAGCTTTATGAGCCAATTTTAGAAATTCTTCATTGTTTTCGTAGCCTTCTGGAACAGTATCTGGAAGCTGACCAACATGGTCTGATCCGAGCTAAAGAACACGAGAGCGCAATGAAATAAACAAATAATCATACAAGTAGGATTTGGCATTAAGGATCCCTACCTGTTCAACTGCAGACTTAAGCACACCCCATTCGACTTTGGGGATGAAACGAGCAGTCTGCGAAGAGTCAAAATCCATTGGCGTAACTTCGACTTTTGAAGCCTATACAGAAACTTAAGTGTTAACAAAGAAACTTACTCTAATGGTAAGCGGATATCCAACCTTAACCACTTTAAGAACACGCGAAGTGAGAATGTTGTGAGTGAAGAGACGCATTGTTCTAAAAGTTAGCAATATAGTTAATGGAAGTCGACCACAAAATACTTAACTGATAAAAAATAAGTAAAAAACAAAAATGTAGCAAAATAGAACTATTAATTCAGTTTCTACATGCCTAAGCACGAGCAGTGAACGCTTCGGAAGGAAACCAAGCCAACCGCTCCTATTTAAATGAATTCAAACGCAAATATTTAAAAGGTTATATCTTTGCCATACATATGAGTTCATTGTTCAGTACAATTGACAAATCGCGTTTCGTTTTTCATTAATCTAGCTCCAAACGGTATAATGTTGCATAATAATAAAACGGTTGTAAAAATTTTGTGGCAAGTCATTTAAATTTCGACTGCTTCCAAATGCCAACGTAGTAGCTTACTCCACAATGTTACTTACTTTGCAATATCTTGAAAAAGTCAAGTTATTTACTCAAAATAACTTAGAACAAAATTACCTAGTGGAACTTTAGTTTTGGTAAATATATTCCGATCGTTGGCTATTTAGTCAGAATGAAATTGGCATTAGCATTAGTTTCTGACCAAAGCTATAGAAAATATGCATTAAGAAGTTGAGGAAACAAGATTTAGTTTTGCAAATTTATCTCGTACCTATAACGTGGGAACGGTTATTAAATATGAATTGGAAATGGAGATGTCTGCCAATAGATTATCTATCAAATTTTCTTTTCTTTATCACTTTTGGTACACTTACCTCAGATATTTAATTTAATGAATTATAGAATCAGTTGAGTCCCATTAACAAAATCGCTTAGTAAAACGTACACATGTTTGTTATTCTAATATGTATTATTTTGTGAATAGGAATAGCATTGCAATGGACATATTTCTACTAATATTATCTCACTTGTTTACTTCGGAAGAGTTTAACGTTTTTCTGTCCCGATACGAGTTTCGTGTACTGGTCTAAGGCTTTTGAATTGATTTAGGTTACTTGTTGTTTGTCAAGTTGTGGAAGTAACGTGATTAAGGTTAGGATTTGTCATTAACTTATATTTCAAACAATTGATAACAATAACAGAGATTGTTTAAATAAAATCAACCTTTCATTCTATTGATAGATTTTTCATACTTCTAAACTCTATTTTAATCGGGCAGGTACGACATTCGCTTTTGGTAAATAAATAAAATTCCACATAATTATCACCCAAACTTTCTAATCTTCGTGGCGTTAGGCGATTGAATCGTGAAAAATCTGCAATCATAAAATATAGCGTCTGATTGTAACTGTCGATTTACAAAATAACTAATTCAACTGTACAAAATAATTTAGCGGTATCATCAAGCTAGTTGGCAAGTATTGTTTGGGGTAATTTCCTTAATAGACCAAACTATTACTAGGTTAGCTCAGTTTTTATCACATCTCACAAGATTAACTTAAATCAGCTTAAGTACATATTTTGAGATAATAATTTTGGAATGAGGTCACACAATTTTAACAGATGCTGTCAAGGCGACTAGAAAATAGTGGAAAAAACATTCATTAATTGTTTTCTGTATAATCAAGCCTTTATTTTGGAGATGTCTAGTTGTTGGTGGTTGGCTTGTGAGACCATTTATGTGCACATTCAGATCAAATTTGTGTATTTTTAAATTACCCATGTCTTTATTTATTTGAATAATAGACACCTACTATTTCTAACAATTTTAATTTATTGTAGAAGTTAATGTCGATGATTTCCAATCGGTAACTTTGGATACTAATCATGGTATATTAATGTACACCGATATTTATTTCACACAAACGACTTTTTTCATTTAGAAACTAAATTCTGAGGACAGCTGATAAACATCATTTAAAGAAGTTTCTTACAGTGCTGTGGGACACGTCATCGCTTAGTCAACATCACGT